GCATAATGCACTTTAACCAAAGCAGCCAAACAAGACTTATATGTTACAAGTGTAATATGCAAAAAAATAATAATAATTTTATGTTGGACAGTACAGCCTGATCGAAATGTTTGTTACGAATCATAGTATCAACCGCCTCCGTGGTAGAGGGGTTAGAGTCGATTACTTCTAATCCAGTTACCTCTCTGGCGTGGGTTCGATCCCCGGGAGATGATTTGGTAGTTTAGCGCGGAGGATGATAGTCTAGTACTGGTGTAACTCTCCAGGAACGATGGTTAGGAAACTACCCGCCTATATGACTGAAATACTGTTGGAAAAAGGCGTAAAAATGAAACAAACAAACAAACGAATCATAGTACACAACGGAATTCCTATGTAGGAGAAACTACACATTATTTTATGAATTTACATAAGACGTACACAAAGTTATTTAAGCTGCATCATTTTTTATAGTTTTATATTATCAGTTATATGAGATTTAACATGTTATAAAGCCCGAATCAAACTGTTTCTTTGTGAATATATATAAAAACCGAACCAACAGGGCATATAACCAATCGAGTGACTTTAAAATGAATTTGAAATACTGCAAACTCCCTTTATGAGAGTTTTTTGTTCTAGTTTTATGTTCTACAGATGTTACAACATAAGTTATCTATAGGATCCCCATTATCTTTAAAAATAGGCAAACCTACCGGTATGTACACGTAATAAAATTAAGTAGTTGTAGCTACTGCTAAATTTATACCAAGGACAGACATAATTTGAAAAACTAAATAATTGTTCACAAAACTTTAGTGACATTGTAGCTAAACAATTTACACAGCAATGGTTACATTATTGTCCTGAAGTATGTGAAATTCCTTGACCAGGAATTACATTGTTGTATGAGAGTTCTTAAAGGACTATCATTCAGTCAAATCCATTCTAGAGTGATGGGTCTTTTGCATGATTATATCTCAATCAAAAATTGTTTCAAGCATGGTCTTTCAAACACTCTATTTGAAAGACCCTGTTTCAAGTGAATAAGTCAGTAGTTTTGTAGTTTTTTTTGCATGCAAAACATAATTTAAAGCAGGAATTAATTATTCAAATTGAACTGATTTGAGTCAAAGTCATGTTATACAAAATTTCAAATATATCTGCATAGGTTTTGAATATTGAACCATTATAATGATAAAGGACACGTTTGGAGTTTTAAACTAATCTGCAGTAGTTCGTCCAAAACAGAATTAACAGAACAAAATTTGAAACTATAAACAGATCAATACATAAATTAATATAAACAGATTAAAATAATTCATTTTGCCTATTTTCTAAAGTTTTTATTTCTTAATGCTTACACTGATTTACAGTTAGTTTCAAATGATTATTTCTTATCGTCGACTCAGGCCACAGATACCTATATTTAGCTCGATGCCCTGGCTCCCAAGTTCGACGAATTGTTATGGGTCGAATGGTCGAATCTTTATTTTACTCGTTACTGAATCAGGCAATAAACGATGAATTTCGAAACATATTTATTTTTAAAAATCGAAGGCATACAAAAGTGAATGGAAAATCTTGTGTAAAAAGGTATTCAAAAGAATAGCTTACGAAATTTCTATTTTTCGAAGCCACGATAATTGCCAGTTTAAAAAAAAAAATCCAGTCTACGCATGTAAATTTTGTTACGGAGCTCCATATTCATTTTGTAAAACATTTTAGGACACTTTTATTGCATAAATGTTAATCAGGAATTTTATTAAATATTTATCTTAGATGTTTCGTCCCATTTATATAATTCTGACGACATTACTATATTTACGATGTATTCATTCAGGCTTGCAAGCGCATGCGAAGTTTAACGCGTAGGTATATAGTACGATTTTATAAATGAACTGTTATTTTTTTTGTTTTCTTTAAAGGAATGTATCTATTATTTCATGAGAATGAACGATTTGGAACTTTCAAAGCATTAAAACAACTTTGCAAACAATATTTAATGATGTGTAGTCGGAATGTAACAATATTGCAGAATGAAGAACTAGTTTCTATAGCGGTTTTTATCCGGATGTGGATGTTGTTTGGTAGAGGCTAAACCTGTAACGCCTGTGGAAATTTAGCTTATAACTCTGTATACATTGCAAGCAATATAGACAATGACGTCATTTCCCCGTATGAATGAAGTTTTAAATTCATACGCTACTTACTATAAGAAAAAAATAATAAATTAAAATAGTTTTATTAGTCATCGTAATTTCTTTTCTAATTATGATCAATGTGTCATATGCAAGAAAAAGAATAAAACACCAGATATCAAGGGGGAGAATCACGCCGTTCGTTACCCAAACACACTAGATGGCGGATACAGCCGAAAAGTAGGTTTTTCCATGTTTACTCTGAAATTCGTGATGTTTTAATGTAATGGTACATATAATAACCTTCTCCACAATTTTCCTGGCACACACGATTTTATTTCATGGTGTTTGGTCCCGTACTTCATCTGAAATGCGCGTCACCAGATTCGAAGCGAGATCGTGGTAACGTACGGCTTTTTCTATAAAATTCACTGTTTCTTTAACATATATGTATATTAACTGAAACCACTGACTTTAAAAAGTTGAAATATTGTGTCAAGTAAGCAAACATGCCCATTCTGGCTAGATTTACTGCTGTAAATATTAATATCGGCGCATTTTCTGGACATGATAACGTATGGCGCACAAAATATCAGTGATAACGTACGGCGTATTTTACTACTTTGTGGATTTCCATTTGTCCAATCAGCTGATAATGAATTAGTTTTATGTATCTGGAAAAAATGTTGGTCAGGTCAGAAAAGAAATAATTAATTAAACAATGCTGCACCATCGGGTATAAATATCTTTCTAGCTGGTGGCATAATAGATATTCGTTGTTAATATACCAATTAAAACACACGTGTATACTTTGAGAATAGTTTGTATAAAATGCAGAATGGAAAGAACAGCCTCCACTTTCAGGAAACATCTGTGTAGTGTTGTCTTCACATTAAATTTCGCCAGTGTTGTGCGATAATTATGGTCGTATCCCCTTATCAGAAAGAAGAAACGCATTCTGCAGAGCAGAAATGTTAAAAAGGTACGGACGGCTTGATATATTTTCTTTTCAAAAGAAAAAGTCTAAAAACATTCCTAACAATTTTCTGATAAGGAAATCTTAATATTTGAACTGTCAAACATAAACAAAACGAAAAGTGATTGCGACTAGCTTACACCCGGGTGACATGAGTTGAACCTGTGTTTATTCAATCTGGTCGCAAATTGAAAGAAAAATACATAACAGAGAATAATGAATAACTGTAGGTTCTATATTGAATTTATTGAATGAGTAAGAAAATAATGTTATGCGAAAAACATCCAATTGAATTTTAAGTAAAATTTTAAGAAAATTTTCTGTTTATTTTGAACGGGGCGGTTAATATTTGAAAACGCATCATTTAGCGTGACGTTTTGCCACTATGACGTCAGATATATTTACGCGACATAGCCTTACAGATTTTTTTATTATAGTAGACAGTAGACATTTTATTTTATTCCAGTAGGCTTTAAAGACGATGAGGACATAAACACATGCACAATAATGAACAGTGTACAACATAAACATATAAACATATAATAATATCAAAAATCATGAACAAGTTTGGAGAAGATCAATTTTGATTGATAAAGTAAATACCAGTCGAAATTTTCTTAAGTAGTTGCATAATGAACATTTTCGTAACAAAATTGATCTTTAAACCACTAAATTATAGGTCTCTTGTATACATATTCACTTACATACACACATATACATGTACATGCATACAAAAAACAGATCACTCATGCTCTTAGATGACGTCATTACTAGTATCTTTATGAAAGAAAGGTTTTAAAAATTATAACGCTACTCTTAAACTAGTGTTTACTAAGTATATGTTAGTGTTCATCCGTGTTGTTCTACAGAAATTAGAAACTTCGACGGGAGCGATAGCGACCGGAGAATATTTCTTATTTCTGTAGAACAGCTACGGATGAATACTAATAACATACTTAGTGTCAAGCTTTATTTGGCTTCATTAATATTTACTTTATTTCGTCACTATGCCTGTCAATTTTCACGAACGCAGTTCTATAAAGCACTACGAAAAATAGAAGACTGCTATGAACGGACTTTGATACATCATCGACTCTTCTATGAAAATTTACACAAAGAATTTTTAAGAAATATAGCGTTTTCATTGGATGACAAATAAAGCTGTACACTAATATTATTTATTTCAGTTTCTTTATTTGGTTCTACACATCCTCTTATGCCTGGCAAACATAACAAACAAATTTTTCTATTATATAGAAAATCAATAAATCAGAAAAAAATGTGCCGTACGTTATCATTGATGTTTTGTGCGCCATACGTTATCATTTCCAGAAAATGCCCCGATATTAATATTTTCAGCGGTTATTCTAGCCAGAATGGGCATGAATGCTTAGATGACGACATATTACATTTTTTTAAAGTCAGTGGTTTCAGTTAATATACATATATGTAAACGAAACAGTGAATTTTAGAGAAAAAGCCGTACGTTACCACGATCAAACCGGTGGAAAATTCTCTCGCTTCGAATCTGGTGACGCGCATTTCAGATGAAGTACGGGACCAAACATCATGAAACAAAATCGTGTGTGCCAGGAAAATTGTGGAGAAGGTTATTATATGTACCTTTACATTAGAACATCACGAATTTCAGAGTAAACATGGAAAAACCTACTTTTTGACTGCATCCGCCATCTTGTTTGTTTGGGTAACGAACGGCGTGATTCTCCCCCGTGAGATGTCACAGACACGAATATCTATCTTTAGGATGACCAGCGAAAAGGAAATAGGATGACCAGCGAAAAGGAAATGTTCAATTAATGCGATGTTGTTACTTGTCAATTATTTGTACATTTCACAAAATCAATTTTAAATAAATCAAAATTGTTTCCATATACTAGTACGTCTGAGTTTCATGATGAACATTTCATTATCTCGATCACAATTTATGTCCTTCTCAGCATCATTGAAGATCTCCTTAATTTCACTTCACCTCCACCATCAAACCCTCCATGCTGGTGATCGCATTGCCCAGGTTCTGCCCCAGCAACTTTACAAATTGAACCTGGTGGGACATATAATCCATTTAAATTAACGATTGTACATGAGCGATGCCACCAGCCTGCATGTCGATCAACAGCGCAATTACGTGAGCCTACAGTATCTAGGTCACGGTCAAAAGTTGTAAAAGGAACTGAATTACTGTAAGCTAACCCTGCTGCAACGTTGACTGAAAAAGTTAAATGAGATTTTCACTGCATGAGCCCATATTAAGCCTGTTAAAATATAACGGAAATTTTTATTAGTCATAAAGTTGGACATAGAAAGATACGCTAAGTTAACCAAAACATCAAAACTGATTGCTCCATCTACAAGCTTTGTTTACATGTGTTTCTACTCGTTGTTTGTTTAAATATTCTTAATGCTGGGAGGTAAATGTATATGTAATATTACCAAATAGGTAAGGAAGAAATTGATTTATTTCAGAACTTTGTGTTGCTTAAGCAAAGTTTAATTCAAGAACTAATATTTATCTATCAATTAAAACTAATGTATCATATATTTGTTTGTTACATTTTATCTTTCATACTGTAACTATCAACACTCGTATAATTACGTTCTGTACCTGATGCGTCACGTAACCCAATGTTGAGTGTATACTTTATACCATTTGTTAACTTGAATTCCTGAAAGATCTCATAGCCTGTCGCGTTGTTGTAATTTGTCATGTCAATGCGAAGTTCTGAATGACTTTGGTCAGCTAGTTCTTGTATGTACTTCAGGCCTATGGTAAGTAAACCAGTGGAACATAAATTACTATAAATACAACCTCTGCAGAACTATCATGAAAATATCGACAGTTCCGAAGTGTCAAGATGAAATTTAAAACTAAAACGAAGGAAAAAAAAAAACTTTAAAGAAACAAAACACTTATATTTTGGCACACACAAAAACCTTTACAGCCTATATACATTATATATGAAAACTTATTCATTTGATACATGGCGATCTTATTATATAAATAAATGGATTTTTTTATCAATGATAACAAATGATGTCTGTATGATAGCCTACTCGATACTACAGTTAGTTGTGAAATGTCAAATGCAAAGATAGAATGAAATAAGAAACATGCTTATGTTATAATCTATATTGAAATATGAGCCGTATTCTTTTGCATTGTCATGAAATCTGGAAGTTTTGTTTTCTATTTTATCTTCTTTTATATCAATATCTTCTACAAACATATCATAATAAAGACATAAAACCAAGAAAGTGTCTCGCTGCAACATTTTTTACATGTACCGTAAATGTCAATATTACCAAATCGTCAAAACTAATTAAAAATAAAACTTAAACATTAGCAAACAAGGATATCTTGACACGCAAGATGATTTCCAGAATACTTTGAAAATTAGAAGCCTCTATACGTATTTTAGTAGGTGAATTCTTTACAATACAAAACTGCTAGCCAATGATATAGTAACATACGAACACAATCAAACAATAAATGTATTACACTTATTCATATTATAAATGTACAAGTTAAAAACAAAACATTGTTTGTTTATAATAAAATACATCGTTTACTTTAGCAAATAATTTCACTTATCTAAACTGTATAAACTAAAGTGGACCATAAATCAAACCTAGCCACAGTTCTCCTCCTGCGTTTCCAAACCCATTTTCATATTCTGTGAAGTTTCGATAAAACTCAATAGACCCGTCCAAGCGCCTATGAAATATCTACAAAGAGTTCAACGACATCAGCACAATATTGTTGAAATAGATAAATGCATTTTAAGTGGATTCAAACTAACGTGGTATAAGTCACATTACAACTTCCAGTTTTATCTCATACCCAATGAGACGGAAACGGGGTGTTGCATAGAACTATTGAAGTTCTTAGTAATCATGCTTGATGGACTTTTCAGATTTGACGTATTTACAACACGCGGCTTGTCTTACATCGGGGGAGTGCAAGCACCAATGTAGACGGTAGATAATCCTGTCTGATATGCAAGAATGGCAGGTGATATATTTTGTCTTAACTATCATGTATATATTTCAAAACTGTCAGATAGGACTAAATTAAAACAATCAGTCTTAAAATAATATGAAGACTCTTTATGATATTTTTAGTGTTGCGCTATTCGTAATATATGTCCTGTGTGTTTTAACTTCCTGTGAAAAAATAAGAATTTTGAAGTCTATAGCTATGTACATCTTTAAACAAATATATTGATTTATTTATACATTGTATATATGTATTCCAGTTAGCATGATTTTCGATTCAATTATTTACAAGATGTTAAAGTTCGAAAAGATTAGGAATTTCAACATAAAACACTTTATAAACTAAACAAATTTATAGACCTGGGCAAAACAGAAAACAAAATAAAATTACTATATACACCAATATTTGCTGAACAAAGTTTACATTAATTCATCACTTTACATACCGTCCAGCCGCCACCGTCAGTTTCCATGTCACAATTCACAATCAGTGTCTTGTTAGAACTCCATAGTTTTATCTCATAAAAACCACTTTCTGCTTCCGGGAATTCATCAAGAATTTCTTTACAGTCGCTCACTAAGCTCACTAAGCAATAATGATATAAAAATAAATAAATATAATCTAACTTCTAATGAATTAATCGAGTTATCAATAATAAATTAAGAAACGGACATTGAATTAGTGACACATCTCTGGCGTTCATTCGGCTGCGAAGCAGCCTAGTCTTTGATGATTTTTAAAAGATCACATGATTTAATGCAGAATGACAAGATTAATTTTGCGAGTATTTTAAACATCATTGCAAAGTAAATAAAAACATTCACATGCACACGCTAAACATTTTGGTTCCTATTTTCTTTTTTCAATTTATTGCAAAACATTGGTTATTTATATTTTGTCCATTCGACGAATAATATTTGTTTGATTTCATATATATAACATCTATAACAATATTAGTTAACTTATTAAAGAAATAAGTATACCATAATTTGCCGATGAATTTATGGGCCTAGAATATTTAAGGTAATTTAGTATTTGAACGGAAGTAAAAATACTACTACATGTATCACATTTCGCTACTTTTATGACAAAACATCACAATTTTCTTCAGGTAAAATTTGTCTTATTCCTTTCAATTTAACCAGTTCCTTCGCAGCCATTTTACGCTTGCGTAAAACCTCATTTGTATTCGTTTTCAGATTTATAAATTTTGCTTTGTGACGATTTTCATTTTGATGTTGTATTGTTTTTCAACCAATGTTTGTTAATCTCTGAGTGTGTCCAATTAAATCATAACTACATGCAAACCTTCTAGTTATGGCAGCTGAGTGTTTTGTTTCGGTTTTTTTTTAAATTCTGTTTGCATATCTTCTTGAAATCGGAACAACACTTGTACATTAAAAAAAGTTTACAATATGATGATCTTTAATATAGAACAAAAACCAAATTATAAATGTTGGGCTAATTCAATTAAACAATTACTTACTGAACTGGCAATTAAAATTTAGCAATAGACAGTTAAGGTACAATAATTTTATTTTTTTCTTTTTAGTAAAATTTAAATTGACAAACGAAGCTATACAAAATCAGAAGATAAACAATTCAATCAAACTTCACCTACCTAAATGTTTCTGTGGTTCGATGGCATGCTTTATTGTTGGTGCCGTCTCAACATACCAAATCCTAAACTCCTGGCATCCAATACATTCATGACTGTCCGGCTTAAAAGAGCTAACGAGACAGCTGTGTTTCATGGAACAAATCTTGCTGCATTCCAACGGATCATGAACGGTACCTGAGAAAAGAATCTCGCTTGACTTGCAGAATAGTGGTAAACTTTGACGTATAAAGTCGTATTTCTTCCAGTGAACTATAGTCGACGATATTACTTGAAGTACAAACAAGAAAGTCGAGATTAATATCACAATCTTTGATTTAGATTTCATCTTATCCAGTTATTTTGTGGAAAATATAAAACTGTTATAACAATAGAATCATAGTGTGTCTAGACACATATGTTCAGCGACATTTCAGCAACTGAACTAATGAAGAGTAAATTATCTCTTTTATGGTTTAATTAATTTCAAAGACAAAAATTGTAAATAATATATTAAATGATGTCTTTGGGAGTTTTATTTCAAAGACAAATGTTGTATAATTTATAAATCAATTAACGGTCTTTCGTTTTAAGTGTGTACATTGATTTAATGTGGTGGAAACTTTTTCACGCCTGGTTAACGATAGAGTCATCTCTTTCGGAGGTATACGGTAAATCGAGCTATCGCTATTTCCGAGCTAGTGCATGTCGCTGTCGCTAATATAGTGATTATGTAATCTATACTTTGTATTTCAATGCTGTTCTTTGAATATGCTTCTTTTAACTTTATTGTATGTTGATACTCCGTTTATTGCTCCTTTGGTTTTCGCGCCAAAGTCTTATTATATTACATTGCTCCTTATAACTTTCCCGCCATTGAATTCCCGCCACATACATATTCACGAGCTTTTCATGATATCAGTGTATAAATAGAGACCGCATGGTCACAGAAGTTTAGTGTGTGTTAAAAAGGATTGTACGAAGGAAAGGGATTTTGTTGAGATATGATGGAAATATATTTAATTATAAAAAGTTGTTAGAGAGAAAATGAAAGCTTGTGGATTGTAAAAGTAACATTTGAGCCGCGTCACGACAAAACCAACATAGTGCGTTTGCGACCAGCATGAATCCAGACCAGCCTGCGCATCCGCGCAGTCTGATCAGGATTCATGTTGTTCGTTATCAGTTTCCCTACTTGTAATAGGGTTGGTAAGCGAACAGCATGGATCCTGATCAGACTGCGCGGATGCGCAGGCTGGTCTGGATCCATGCTGGTCGCAAACCCACTATGTTGGTTTTATCATGACGCGGCTTATTTAAAAAGTGTTTAATATTGTATATTAAAAGTAGAAACGAAAAAGTGTTTCTCTTACTTTAATTGTGTTTACGACAGGCGCTATTTTAAATCATGTGTCAACAAAGGTAAAGGTTTATATAACATGCTTTTCGGAGGTTTATAGAAATATTTCAGTGAAATATAAAGCTGATAATTTCACTGATTTAAACAGTGAAATTATCAATTTAATAATTTCACTGTTTTGAGCCCCTTACGTTGTTTAAGTGAAATACCAGCGTGCACAGTACTGGAAACCAACTTAATGACGTGACGTCATAAATGACTTTCAATATAAGTATTAATATTATACATGTATTGGAATTTCTCCCTTTTGCTTAACAAGTTCTATAATATTGTAAAAAATAAATTCTAAAAATGAAAATAACATGTTTAGGTTTTGTAGGTTCTGTACAAAAACCTTAACATGAATTTTTAACTTAAGTTCTTAATGTTACGTGCCAAAAGTGATTAAGTATGTATAAATTAAAATGATATTGAATGAGCCAGGTTCAATACTTCATTTATTATTGAACTTACATGAATAGAGATAATACAGTATACTGTTTACCACATATACAAAATAAAAGTTGTTTACAATGAAAAACATTTTTAGTCACCTTCAGTGTGACGATAACAATTTGAACGCCGTAAATGTTAATGTAATATTATGCTTATTACGTCATGATATACATGACTGTATACTTATTACTTTAGCATTATATTGTTTTAAAGGCCCACTATGTCCCAGAAATGCTATCGGTTTTATTTCTTAAAAACTTTCAAGTTTTGGTACGATGTTACAGTTTTCGAAATATACTGATTTGTCATGTAGATGAAATATTTTTACTACTTTCGTTCTCTTGGCAACCGGTATAATTGTAGTGAATGAGTATTTTGTACGGAAAGCAAAATACTACTTTGCATACATTTTGCTACCTTTACGACACATTAATTCCCAGCAAACAAAAGACGTTGTACCAACGTTGTACTGACGTTAGACCCTGACGTTGGGTAAACGTTGGCAGAAGGTTGGATTTGAAAGTTTTTTATCATGCCATTACTATGACAACTGCCTGATAAAGCCTGTCTGAGAACAGCAACCTTTCTCAGTCAGTGACTTGAGAACACTATGTTCCTACGCCAGATCAGCACTGGTGATGTTTATTGTTGGTATTGTTTAATTGACTTTGCTGAATATTTATGATAATACACAGTAAATAAATTGTTAAAGCAAATTGTACCAAAAAATTGTGTTGTGTTATGAAATTATTGGTAAAAACCCTCGGACTACTTTTTTTGGCGTATAACCCTCTTGTGGTTACCGTACTTTCAGAAATTAGCGCCCCGAATTAAAAAAAATAAGATGCAAAATCATAATAGAGGCATGATAAAAAGAATAACAGGTTACTGTCTTTTGAGAAAGGGATTTCTCAGACTCGGATAGATATGGTCCGGAAGGGGCTCGGCAAGCCTCGCCCCTTCTAGGACCATATCTAACCTCGTCTGAGAAACCCTTTCTCAAAAGACAGTAACCTGTTATTCTCTATTTAGACGTCAGAATCCGACGTTTATACAACGTCATAAAATGACTTTTATCTAACCTTATCTGACCATAATCCAACCTTTTCTGACCATTATTTGGACATAATCTAAACCTTTTCTGACCATTATCTGACCATAATCCAACCTTTTCTGACCATTATCTGACCATTATCCGACCATAATCCAACCTTTTCTGACCATAATCCAACCTTTCCTGACCATAATCCAACCTTTTCTGACCATGATTTAACCTCATTTCAAACTTTTTGGAATATGATTCTTTTTCATTTTAAGCACTTTAGTAGGGTAAACAAATAAGCATTCTTATAATTTTAACAATTTATTTTCAATACGGAATCACATGTACAGAACAATAAATGTGGAACTATAACAAATGTAACATTTACATAATGAAACTATTAAACTTAACAGTATGTACTAAAATAACGCTTCATGTATTTATTAATCATGTTTTAGATAGACAAAATTCTTCATAAACATTAACACTGACAGATTGTATGGTTAACATTCATGCATGTTTTTCTTATATCACCAAGGCTTATTTCCGACTGAACCGATCACCCTGAGTTTAGGATTTTCCAATCATCTATCCAACTCACTGATTGTTTATTTTTCTTTGTACTTTTTATCTGAATGTTAAATGGAAGAATATTGTGAATATTTTGATATTACTATAAATAGCAATGTTCATATATCTTAATTAGCATTCTTCTTTCGTCCACCTCCACTATGGCGATCTGGGGCATACTTTAAAGTTTAAGCATATCATAATCTGAACCATTACCGTCTCCAACCTGAGATCTCATCATTCACACTATCTGAAATTTAAAAATAAATCAAATAATCACTTACAATTGCAAGAAATAAATCGGTTTTACATATTACAATTAAATGAAATTTTGACAAAACTCTCCAACTACTTTAACAAAAGAGGCTTATTTTCTATTTACTTTAGTTTAAACCATGTAGTTTAATGTACCTATTATATATATCCATTGATTTTGATAAAAATGGCTTCGTGATCAATGTATTAATATTTTGAAATATACCTGTCACAAAATCTTGTGTGTTTTTCTTCTTTATCTCTTAATAATTTCATCTTCCTCCTCTGAACTTTCGACAGTTGTTGAATAACCATAATTTTCACAATCTCTGATATTCACTGAAAGACAAAACAATATTATGGTTTACGAAAACAACCTTATAAAATGTTCAATAAATTATTTTCAATAAGTATGAAATTAAGTTTCCTAAAAATTTAGTCAGAAATTACGATATTTGCAATTAAACATTGACCTTAATTGCTATATAACAATAGCATTTTCAAAAAGTTTATAGTACTCGATCGATTCGTTGAAATGGTTTTGTTCTAATTATATGATAATTTTGTGTCTACTGTATATTTCGGTGTCACAATTATCATGTTCATTTAAGTGGAATAGACTTCATATTTTGCGTTACTATACAATTGGTCATAATCGGTTTAAAATTTAACCATGTGATGCAGGGATGTTTGTCTAATATAATAGGCAAAGTCCAATTATATTTACTTCAATTTTAAGAGAAATAAGAGAAAGAAAAATACAAAACATTTTTTATTTCAAAATTGGCAATGTGTGCAATTGTTTTAAATGATAGAATCAAAGATCGAGATGAAAATTCACCAGACCTTTTGTGAAATTTGTTGTTCAATCATACAGAGGTGTTTAAAGAAATAAAAGTAAAACTCAGATCATCTTCGTTATAACTCATAATGGAAAACTGACATAACAAATACCGAATCAATTCTACCTGCGCAAAATTTAATATGAAAATGATATATTTTTATATTTATTATAATTTATACAAATGCTACAACATCAAAGAAGTTCACATGTTACTGTCATTTTTATAGATATAAATTAATCTCTGCCATCTGCTAAGAGTATAAAAAGGACAGACTGGCTGAGGGTACAAACGTTTTATGATACGAGCATATAACTTGTTTCACTATATTTAATAAGCAGGCTAATTAACAAACTATTATTTTTATTGATTTATAACCTTGATAATGTGTTTACTGACTGATAATATGTTGTCTGATTACATTTATGAAAAGATAAGTAGTCGAAAACAATGTGGTTTCAGATATATCTTACGAAAGTAGTATCATTTACATGTATCAAATGCCATGAATCATTATCATAATATAAGAAACAGGTGGTATGTTCATGGGTAAAATACTTCAATATAACAACCTGTAGTTAAACAACTACAAAGACATCAAAATCAAACTGTGCTTGAGACCCTACAGTTATCTGATACATGTGTAAATGACTGGCCCCTCATAAAAAGGAAATTCATGTTGATAAGAAATAAGAGGAACTTTTATATGCCAGCATTTGAATAATAGAGTATAACGTACTGCATTTAACCTTTTATTGATTTCAATTGCTAGTATATTTCATACC